ATCCATCCGCCTCCCAAAGTAGTCCCAAGGAAAAGGCTGCTGTTTCGACCAACACTCGCCTTTCTCCCCCTCCCATGTCTATCCTGGGAATAAAGAGGTCCTGGCCTCCCGCCGTGGGGCTTCGGAGACTTAAAATTCTGGAAATTTCGGAGTGCGCGGATGGATCCGGAGGTGCGGTCAGACCGTGCGCAGGGGGGGCTGGGGGAGAAGCCCCTTGTAACCCCAGGCAGGTTTAGGGAAGAACCTGACATGGATGGAGGGAAAAGTGCCCCTGAGACACTTGTGTGGGTTGTTGACCCACAGCATGGAGACACTTCTGCCCGGCCCCCTGGTCGTGCTGTGGCAGAGCCTGCAAGGGGGTTCAGGGCAGCTTGGGAAGAGCTGAACCCACTTAGCAAAACTGAAAGCACAACAAGGACATACTAGTTAGAAATTTGGCAAGTTGCTGGTGACCTGCTGGTGCGTCAGGCTGGCCATGGGCTGTGCGTGCCCCTGGTCATGGGGCCCATTTCCTGGGCAGCCCTTTGAACCCGTTTCGGGCTGACAACTTAATTATTTAATGTGAGGTTGCAAAACAAGCCCTGTGATGAAATGTTGACATTTGAAATTCAAACAGCTGTTTACTTGCCTTCAGAACAGGAAGCTTTGATCAGGTTATGGAGCAAGTTCCTTCTGTGAACCCATGTGGATATGTGCTTTGTTTCAGTTAAGCTTCATTATACCCTTCATACTGGATCTTGACTCATATTATATCTGGAGTACACAAAATCCAGAAAGGTTTTTATGTGGCAGTGTTTTATCTGCTGCTAGCTCCTTCAGTGAAGCCAGATGAACTTGCTGTGAAATCCTCCACCCACAGAGCAGGAGCACACATGTAGATAGAAGGATTCAGTACAGAACTACTCCATTTCCCCCTTTAAAACAAAAAAAAAGGGGGGGGGAACCCTCACCACACCAAAAAAAGCCAAGAATAACAAAACCCTTTTGCTTTCCTTTCTCATAACAGGGCTTGTGTCTGCTAGCACCTCCTGGTTTACAGTAAAAAGGAAATAAATCATCCCAAACATCATTATTCATAATGTAGGAACAGGAAGCCTGGAAAATGCTAAGTGGAAAGGTCAGACACAGCTCCATGGCAATAACCAACCTTGGAACTATTACTCCTCTATAAAAAATGTAGGACAAAAGGCAGATTTAAGCAATATCACATTTGTTTTCCTTAGGCTGCCAGTTTTGCTCAGTGTTTCCAATGAGTTAGTTTTGTTTGGACAGTGCCAGGGTGACTAAATGTTTGCTTCAAGGCTGGCCTGTCTGTGCTGTACATCCCAGGCCCTGCTTCAGGGGCTGTGCCCCCAGTCAAGCAATGTTATGGGGTCCTGAGAGGAAGGCCATGAGTAACTAATATTTACAAATGTGAAAGGCCACATTTATTAAAACTGGAGATTAACCACAGGCTAAAGACTGGCCTGTGCTTGAGCACATCAGACTTGTATTAAGGAAATCAGTTGGCATGTCTTTGTGGTTTAATGTCTCTCTAGATGGAGGAGAAATATCTTTTTTATTTTTTTCCTTTCTGTGTAAATCAGAAGACACAGGAGCCCTCCCTTGTTTTTTTCTAAGTATGGCAAAATCCCATGACTAATCTGCTTTCTCTATTGTTGCTCCATTTCTGTTTCACTACTTAAATCAACAGATCAGAATAAAGTCCCAAACAAGATAGGCCCACCATGAGTAATTCTTTAAATACCTTGTTAATAATGGCTCCTGAAAAATTCATTCTTCAGGGAAATGAAGGCAGCACAGGCAGGAATGTGCTGACATCGAATGCAGACTCTATTTTGAAAACAATTATGGATTACATTAATTCCATGCAAAAAGCCTCATTATTTTCCTCACTTATCCCTCTGTCAAAAGCAATAAACAGAAGAGTCAGGATTTCTGAACACAGCTCCAGGGCCTGGCAGAATGAATCTCATCTCCACAGCCTGTGGACAACATACTCTTCTAGACAGGCATTTTGCAGCCTCCACTGATTGGATTAATATAATTCTCCTAACTATTAATCTGTAATAACCATCTACATGCCTGTACAGAGCCCACCTCTTTTGGTTTGGGGTTATTAATACAGAGTTTCTTAAAAAACTGCTTTCCTGTCCCATGGCTTTTTCTGTGTGGTAAACTCATGCCCTGGATATTACACACTTCATAAACACATAGATTCTTTATATCACTTCAGTGATAATTATTATCAAGTTGAAAGGTACTTCTTTTCAAATAAAGTGTTTATAAATTGTGGGCCAGATTCTGCCTTATTTTCCCACATGATGTGTACAGAACAATCTCCCAAGCTGGAGGTGACAAGCTTGTGTCTCCATTTTACTGAATTTCAGCTTTTCCTTGGAATTTCTTTGGAAAATATTTTACTTTCTTGCCTGTGATACAGACAAGAGAGATCTGTTTATTCTTAAGTGGTGTGGTAACTGTTGTGGTTGTACAAAGCAAATGTACTTGATAAATATGCCACTCTTTTTCCAGGAGCTCTTGGTGAACAAGAACCCTGGAGCAGCTGACTCTAAACTCTATATAAATAAATGCAAAGCTGAAAAAACAGAAATCTGTATCTTGTGACTGGCCTGACTGCACAGGTGGTTCCTGCTTTTGCCAGGGCATGGGGCCTGCAGTTGGGAACACTAACTCCTTTCCAAGTGGTTTCAAAAGTAGGTCACTGGATAGTAGTACAAAGCAACCTACTTTTGGAAGCAAAGAATCTGGGGTCAGATAAATGTCTCCAACAAATCTGTACGTTCTAGAGCTCAAGCTGGGTCTGGTTTTTATGTACACTAATGTCCTAACAACAGCACATCATTTCTCCATGAGCAATGTCAAATGAAGCAATCTTTTTAGTTACAAAGGTTTAACTTGGGACAGCCAGGCAGGCAGTTTGAGTATGTGTAGCAAGTTCAGTGCTGTTCCTTTGTTCAGATAAAAACAGGCCTACTTGCCACAGGAGAAAAGCAATGTATAATCTCACAGTACATTACTCATAGCTACCTCAGCTCTCTCTCACTCTGTGTGACACAGGATAAATATATTTACCTGTTTACAGTTGTGGAGATAAGATATTTTCTCCCCTAACCTTTACCACTGCAATAATTTTTGCTGAAGTTCCAGCCACAAGACAAACAGAGCTGTGGCATGTTACTGCTTGTCCTTGTACTGCCAAGCTCAAGGGTTACAAAAACACTGTCACAATTCAAAGTTCTGTGAGATTGACTGTAATATGATGAGATTACCAAAAAAAGACAAGTATTTTGAGTTGTGTTTTTTAAGCCCTATGCTAAAAATAACTTAAATAAACACAGTTTTTAATAGGCTGCCAGCTTCAGGAGCTGAACACTTAAGAAAAACAGATATCCAGGTTTGTAGTAAAAAGGGGAAAATGAGCAATATTCATCTGTCTCCCTGTTTTTTTAAAGCATAGTTTGACTTTGCAGGACACCTTTAAGACGGCTGATCCCACGATAGACAGGCCTGGGCATGTCTTTGTAGGTCTAAACGACCCAGAGGAACATGTGTCAGGCAACTCACTAAGCGTCTGCTGTAAGGAGACTTCTAAAGGGCATTTTATAAAGACTCCACCAGCCTAAAATCACAGGTTTGTGTCTGCGTGTTACACCAGTGAAAGCAACAAATAAGAACTAGGTCTATTCTAAAAATTACTTGTCTGTATCTTTTCAGGCTGCCTCCTGCCTGTGAGGCTCTTGGATCCGATCCAAGCTGCACTGCAGAGAAGGGCTCTCTTTGTTTGTGCTCCCTCTGCTGTGTCTGAGCCGACTGAGCTTGTGGCTTCTGGGGTGAGGTTTGTCAGCAGAACAGCAAAGAAGCACCTTGAAAAACAGAAAGAAGAAAGAAGTCCTAAACCACTGTTAATCATTATTAGTGTGTTTCAACAGAACCTCTCGAAAGGTGAACAAACCCAAACAATGTCAAGGCCATTCTGAGCAGCCTTCGCTCGCTGCCCCAGAGGTGATGCCTCCTGTGTTTTGTTTTCAGATCCAGCCTGAATCCCCTGATGGTGAGAATGTCCAGAATACTTCCCCCTCCACAACAGGAAGACTAAAATCCAAGCACTGACATTTTTCTCCCCTGTACATACTATGTAGTTTTAACTACCTCAGTTCTTTTAAGTGTGGTGTTAGCTGGTTACACTTCCAGTTCCCTGCTTGTTAGATGAAAAGCATCCACAGTTCCTAATTCTCTTTAAAACACAAACATGCAGCTGCTTTTGTGGTGAAAATGCCCTTACAGGCTGCAAGCCAGGTCTGCAGAGCTGAGTCACTGTTATACAAGCAGAGCTGAGATGGCACAGAAAAACACCTTTGTACTTGAACATGACAACATGTCAGCTGTTGAACTTGGAGCGTCACAAGACAACAAACCATGATTTCCTGGACTCTTCCTCTTGCCATCCCATTTCTGAGCACCTCTTCCTTCTTCCATTTTGTTTCAGAATGTTAAGGGCAAAAGCATTCCTCATCAAGCTATTGGCATTTACTGGAGTTTGGCAAACGTTGCATCAGATTTGGAAGTGAAGCCAGGGAAAGCTGGTAGCTCCTGGGGCTCTGGGAATGCCTGCTGCCCAGGCACACTGGCAGGAGGTACCCCCTGAAATGGAGGCCTTGCAATCAGAATACCAGTGACATTCATCATCAGCCACAGGCCCACTATAAAGCTCCTGAATTGATTATTTATGTGAGACCCAGTTGTGATGTCTAAGAGTTCTTTGTAATAATATAGGAATCAAGTGAAAAATAATTTGATTACTCTAGCTTTCTGGAACAAAACTGCATTTTGTTCTCCCATTTTTGTCTTCCAGTTCTTTATCCTGAAACATCATAGGGGAACAGAATTTAACTTCTCAAAACACTTTCTTCATTTAAAATAGGGTGAGTTAATTGTGGAGGGGGACAGGGAGCAACAGATTTGCAGATATGACATGGACCATGTATTCATTATGGTTTTCTCACTGGAACTGCTTTTTGAGAGTGTGCTGGTGCTAGTGTCTCCTTGCAGAGAGGAGGTAATTTCTGTGCACTGATCACTAACAAGCTCCTAAAGTATGTTCAGGCTTTCAGTTTAGTGCAGTAACTGTGTTTAGAAAAGGCTGAAACCTGTAACTGCTGCTGGTTGTACCCCACACTGAAGGCAAATGAATCCATGCTGCAGACTCCACAGGCTCAGTTTCAGTTCCTGGTCTCCAGTTTCACTTCAGTGGCTTTTTGTCCCAAAAATACAAAGTGACTAACACGAAATCTAGTGTGATTAAAGGTCTGGGAGTGGTTCAGATCAGGAGCCATAGATCAACATGCTGGTGTGGGCCAGGATTTGTCACAGGTGCTGTATTAAAATGGTTCCATGAGGATGAGTAAGTAACCAGTGCAGAGGTTCACATGAGGAATAACAGGAAATTGTAACTCAGTGCCCTTTCCTATCATCAGAGGAGAGAGGTGCTGACCCACAGGATTATTATGCAGGCCCTGGCATGTGGCCTCTCAGGAGGCAGCCTACACACTGCAAGTCACATGCTTTTAAAGCTGCTTTCCCCTGATCCCACTGTTCCATCACCCAGCTGCTTTGCTGTATTCCTGGCCGAGACGTGACCCTTTGGTGCCTCTTCCACCCACCCCCAGGCAGCTCACTTGTTTACATCTTTCCCTCTTCTTGAGAAGGACAAGGCATTAAGTCCCATTGAGAACTCGAAACAAAAACCATTTCCAGTCCTGCTAACAAGGCATTAAGTCCCATTGAAAACGCAAATTCTTTATTATAACTCGAAACAAAAACCATTTCCAGTCCTGCTACACTGAGCACAAAGATTTTGCAGTGATTTGATTCTTGTCTCAGCCGAGTGTGACCTGGACGCTTCTCTGTCAGCCAAGCACGATCTCTTCCCAGATGTTTCCCACTAGAGGGCTGGGGCTTCCACATCTTCCGAAGCTTTTTTATTATTCCTGGGGGGCTGGGGGAGGTATGTATGGACTTGATTGTTCTCTTTTTTTAAGGCTGCGGCGACAGAATTGGGGAAAGGTTGTGTTAGAATCCTTTTCTCTGCGAGGCTGCCCCACTGATTCCAGACCTCTGGAAGGACTCTCTGCCCTCCGGGAGGCGCATCCCGCTCCGGCACGAGCTGCCCAGCAGGGCTGGGACAAACACCCCCTTCCATAGCCCCCCGGGGCTGCAAAGCCCCCGGACAGGGAGGACCCCGTGTCTGTCACTAGAGGAAAACCCTCCTGCTTGCGGGTAACCGGCGCTTCTGCCGGGACGGTTTAGGAGGGAGAGGCAGGCGCGGGGGCGTCATTCCCGCGATTGCCCCTTCTGCCCGCTCACCGTGCCCACCTGGTTACAGCTGCCAGGCGGGGCCGGGACCGACAGAACCGACAGAACCGACCCGGACCCCGCCGGGTCCGTCCCGGTCCCTCCTGCCCGCCCCGCCCCGCGCTCAGCGGCGCCC